AAGTCTCCAGGTCTGCTTCAGTCTGGGTGGCATGTTGGCGGCTAAGATGACAGAGCCCAAAATAAAAATAAAAGGGCTAAAGGTGGAGCTCAGGGCAGGAACAGCCACAGTCAAGAGCCAAAGTAAACAAGAGAGCCAAATCCTGGTGTGATAAAGATGTCAAAATACATGAGGCCATGTGTAGGGACACACTCCCATAGTCCTAGCACTGGGAAGCTGAGGCAGAAGATCACCGTGAGTTTGAGGCCAGTCTGGGCTACATAGAGAGACCATGATTCAACCAAAAATAAATAAACAAAATAATTATGATCAACATGTCAAGTGCTATAGTGAAAATGCTGACCTCATGCATACAGAGATGTGAGGTTGTTTGTTTTTAGCAAGGATGAGAATTACACGAAGTAAAATAGAAAAGCTAGATATAAGAATAAAGATGAAGCTTGCCTTCTGCAAGTTCCTCAGTAAACTCAACAGAACTGAAGAAAGAATTGGCAACCTTGAAGGAAGGATAGTGGAAATTACCCAACGCTGGGCACAGAGAAAAAGAGGATAGGACAGGAACCAGACCAGAGCGTCTGGACTGTGGGAGGGCTGGAGTGTGGCTGGGGCCGAGCCCAGGGTGCAGCATGACCCGGGTCCTTGGATCAAGCCCCGGCCCCAGGAAGAGAAAAGAAATGTGAGGGGATGAATCAGGTAGATTAAAATGTGTAAAGATGGCGTCCAGGAAGAAGAAAAGTAAGAACAGGTTGGAAGAAATACTTGGAAAGCTAATGGACCAAATTTCTAAAAAAATAGCAAAAGACATCAAAATACAGATACAAACAGCTTGGAGAACTCTTAAGGATGACTAATAACAGTGTTCGGATTGCTGAAAAGTGAAGAGAAAGAATGCTGGAGGCAACCTGAAGGAAAAAACCATTATGTTGCTATTTTTAAAAAATGTGTTATTGATTGATTGATTGATTGATTGATTGTATTTTTTAAAGAAGGGTCTATAGGATGTTTAGGGTCTTGTTATATAGATCGGACTCATAGTGATCTAACTGTTTACAGCCTCCCAAGAGTTGGGATTACAGGCACGCACCACTGCGCCCAGTCTCAATTGCCATCTCAGTGCGCCCCGGGTATGGGGCTGCAACCCCTAACCCCTGCTCCTGCTTGCAGGTGCTTTAATCTGCTATTTGGGAGAAATTGTTTAACGCAAAACTAGTACTGATGTATTATGGATACATGACATTGAACGTATGTCAATATTAGTGCAAAGTTTGGCGGGGAGGAGCTTGTACTATACAGTTGTAAGTTCCCTACACTGTAGGTGAAGTAATATGTTGTTGTTTGAAAGTTGGGCCTGGAGCACCAACACGTGAATAGATAAAGAAAAAGTGGGATTAGGGCTGGCGAGACAGCTCAGCAGACTAAGTGCCTGCTTAGGCAAGTGCAGGGACTGGGTTTGATCCCTGGTACCGTATGCCGCACCGGCCCTACCCTGGGTGCACTGAGCTGGCCACCGAGTCTGGGCGTGGTGGTGCACACTTGTAATCCCAGCACTGGGGAGGCTGAGACAGGAGGATCACCATGAGTCAGAGTTGTGTAGTGAGGCCCTGTACCAACTACATAAAAAAAAAAAATAAAAAAAGAAAATGCGGTAGTTACACACAATGGAACACTACTCTGCCATAAAGAAAGATAAACTTGAGGTATTTATCAGTAAATGGATGTACCTTGATACCCTAATGTTAAGAGAAATCAGACACAAGCTTAAATACTGCATCTTATATGAGAAACCCAAAATATAAATATAGAATAAAATAAAAGATTGTAGGAAGTAGGGAGACCCTTCTCACCTGGGAAAGGGATCAAGACATGGGGGAGGAAAAGGGATGGAAGAAAAGATTTAAGAAAAAAGTAGAAATAGAGGTTTTGTAAATGGAAGGAGACCAAGAGTTAGGAGGAGCAGGAATGGATGGGAGGGACGGGGGTAAAAAGAAAGAATTAGAATGTGCTCTGGACATGTAGCAACTCCCTGTGGCAAATGTAGTCACGGTATCCTGCAAACATACTAGTACAAAAAAAGTTTGACCTCAAAATGGAGCTCAAGGGAAGAATGTGTGCCTGGCATGTAGAAGGTACTATGCT